CCGACCTTTCCCGACCCCCCCCCCCCTCTCTCTCTCTCCCACTTCACTTCCTGTGAACTTTGAACTGTCCTATCAAAATTAAAGGCAAAAATGCCAAAAAGAAATCTTTAAATAAATAAAAGTAGCCAAGTGGTCAAGTGCAAAGACTGCAAGTGTGGGTATTTGGACAAGGCCAAGCTCTAACCCTAATCAAATACACCCGAGAATGTTAATCAATGTCTTCAGGATCATTAGAAAATCACAGGTAGGTGAGTTTTATCAGGTTAGGAGCTAAACTCTGCAGCGCATTGGCCCTCCAGGGCAAGATCTGAGAAACCCTGGTTTAAATTTCTTGTGAAGCCATCACCCACCCATCAGATACCTTGCTCCTTTTTTTATTCTCTGTGTGTGTTAGCACACTTGGCAATAAAGCTCATTCATATTCTGATTCTGACAGTGTCCCCTCTTAAAGGGATAGCTCACTCAAAATGAAAATTATATCATTAATTACTCATCCTCATGTCGTTCCAAACCCATAAGACCTCCGTTCATCTTCGGAACACAAATTAAGATATTTTTGATGAAATCCGAGAGCTCTCTGACCCTCCATAGACAGCAAGGGTACAACCACAATCAAGGTGGTAAGGACATTGTTAAAATGGTCCATGTGACATTAGTGGTTCAACCGTAATATTTTTTAAGCTACGAGAATACCTTTTGTATGCAAAGAAAATTAAAATAACTTAATAACTCCGTGTCACCCTAGGGCGCAATTTTGGAGAGTACCATATGACCAATATGACTCTAATTTCATATTTGTGATCTTGAACCACAAAACCAGTCATAAGGGTCAATTTTTTTAAATTGAGCTTTATAAATCATGAAGCTAAATAGATAAGCTTTCCATTGATGTATGGTTTGTTAGGATAGGACAATATTTGGCCGAGATACAACTATTTGAAAATCTGGAATCTGAGGGTGCAAAAAAATGAAAATATTGAGAAAATCGCCTTTAAAGTTGTCCAAATTAAGTCATCAGCAATGCATATTACTAGGGATGCACCGATACCACTTTTTCCAGTACTTGCCCGATACGATACTTTTATTTTTGGTACTTGCTGATACAGAGTACCAATATTTTTATTGCATTTGTAAATTTTTTAAATATTGGGTACAGAAACCAAAATAGTATGTATAATGTTAGTTGGTTAACTTCATTTATCAAATAGATACAGTCAAAAAAAATTATTCAGACACCTTCAACATTTCTCACATTATCACAGTTTATTCGCTATGATACCAATATTTTTATTGCATTTGTACATTTTTTAAATATTGGGTACAGAAACCAAAAGAGCATGTATAATGTTAGTTGGTTAACTTCATTTATCAAATAGATAGTAAAAAAAAATTATTCAGACACCTTCAACATTTCTCACATTATCACAGTTTATTCGCTATAGTTTAGAACATGGTAGAACATCCCCAGACTCGGTCTGAATAATTTTTGGTCCCAAAGTTGTATCAGTTTTACTGGTAGTCCACTGTATGAAGAATGTTTGGGTATAATTTGTCACAGTTTACTTTATTTTGCTGTCCTCACTTACAAATAGTGTCCTGCACCCACTAGTAAAAAAAAAGATACAAAATTATATCTGGTCTCTGAATAATTTTTGGTTTGACTGTATATCCTTCGGTTATTTTCACACTTAATTATGCCCATTAAAATATATTTTACAAGTTTTTGTTACTTTCACTTTTTTTGCTCTATGGTACATCATCTTTAATTTAATAGCATGCTCCATTGCAGCGGCTTAGTACTGTAATTATGCGCTTCTTTTGGACTGAAGCAATGCAACGCCCGCTGACTGCAATGATAGAGCTTGAAAGATCAAAGACAATTTTTAATATAACTCCGACTGGATTCGTCTGAAAGAAGAAAGTCATATACACCTAGGATGCCTCGGGGATGAGTAAAACACAGCCTAATTTTCATTTTTGGGTGAACTAACCCTTTAAGATGTAAGGTTATTGTACATCCAGCCTGTTATTTATAGGCTATGTTTTAATCCATTACCATGTTCAAAACAGTTTTTCTGTAATGAAATTCTGTAACAGGAGTCCGATCTACCATGACACACAAGGAAATATGTGACAGGGATATTACAAAACCATACAAATAAAGTATTGATTTATTACATAAGTCAGGGGTATTCAATTAAAGTTCCAAAGTTCCATACGGCTGTTTTCCAGGGCTTAAATTTTAAAAAGTCAAATTCAAGTACTTCAAGCACTTTAAGCACTTTGTACAAACCCCGTTCACAAGACTTTTGAGTACTGGTTCTTGTAGATTAGAGTTTTTTTGCCACAAAATGATGTCAGTATCAACCTACCCATTTACAGTGTGCAATGATGTAGATATGGCATAATGGCGTATGAGCCGTAAATGAGCCATTGTTTTTGTACACAGCAAATTTCTGGAGTTGAAAAAGTAGGAGTTAGGCAAAAAAGTGTGAAAGAGTTAGATTTTTGGAGTTTATTTTATAACTCTGACTAAAGTTTGTGTTATGGGATACTCCCTGGCTGTGTTGGATTTTGGAGTTCATTCAGTGGTGTTCAGGAGCGTGTTTTAACACCACATCTGGAGTTAAATGTTAGAAAGTGGAGTAGAAAGTG